TCTCCTCCTCTTTGCCCTACTTTCCATTGAATCCTGCACAGAAAGGCAGAACAAGAGCTCTCTGCTCTCTCTCCATATATAAATATATATTTATATATATAGTGCAGGAATGCAGGGACAGATGGAGCAGTGGGAAAGGGAGGGTGTCATTATTTAACAGAGAAAGAGACAGTGAGCTCACAGCTGATATATAATATAATAATATATAATAATACAAGTATTATGCCTTAATGACTGTGTTCGTGTTCCTTGGTCTTTCTTTTCATAGTTGCTTCATGTCATTTACATTTTTAGCAGTCAGTTGTGATCAAACTGCAAAGAGCTGCCATGACAAATGTCTACTCACGAAAGGAGGGCAACGCCCTTGGCAGCCCACACTGTCCCCATTCACCGCTCTTGCCAATGACAGCCAAGCTGCATTTTAAATGCTCAACTGCAGCACAGCGCTCCATTTTTAACAAATATAACTCCTCTCTCTCTGATCATGACGGATTTCAATCCCGCTGTTCTGAACACATGATGACGGATGTCTCAATGTGCATACATGCAGTCAGCTGGTCAATTCAGCAATTTACACTAGTTATTTTTGTGCACGTTAATATCAGTCAATTCATATTTCGTAAAGGATGTGGGTATTTTAGTATCAACATGTATTGGAAATATGCCCAAAGGGAAAAATAGAGTCAGTAGGACCCACTCACGGGTTGGCTCAGAAGATTCTAGCGTGTATTTAAAAAAATAAATCAATGGAATCAATTCATACAAAATACAATAAAAGTGAAGCTCAACACCCCGATAAATAACTTTGCTGCTCTAGCAAATTGGCAATATAACTGAGTGATGAGTGTGTGACAGATGAGGCTGTGTCTCTGCACACACCCATTTATATATTCAGTTTCTGAGCCTCCTGCTGCCTTCCTGCTTGTGTCTGTGGGAATGGGTTTTGGGTCAGTGCTCATGGGCTCTTTATTCCTGTTTAGCGGTGGCTCTGACACCTGGCCCGCTCCCCCCCCAGCTCCTAATTAATCGCTGCTGATACTAACAGGAAGCGAGCAGCCGGAAACATGGGCCATTTGGATGCAACAGTGGAGGCTGGCAATTCAGGCCCACTCTGAGAACCAACAAAATACTAAACACTCAATTCAATAATAAACACAAATACTATAATTGTTTTTGTATATTGTTATGTGTGATAAAACTCTAACTTAAAAAAGTTAAAACAATTTTAAATGTTCCCACTTTGATAGGAAAACATTAGTAAACATTTATGTTAATGAAGGAGCTGCTGTCGCCTGTCCACCAACCAGAACATTATGCACATGTTTTCCACTGACTCCTGTTTCACACCCGTGTGAAATGGTCTAGCCTGGTGAGTATAGGTGCTGACCAAACTCAAATTAAGGCATCCTTAGAAGCATCATGGGATGAGCCTTAATGATGCCGGTGACGGATGTAGTTGTGTGAACAATGAGAAAATGAGTGACACCTGGATGACCAGGGAGACTAGATGTTTCAGAATCTTATGAATCCAGCCAGCACTTTGTGTTAAATCAGACTGAGGTCTCTGCCTGGCTCAAAGCATCAAACTGAAAGATCTTTTTCTGTGGCAGTATGGGAAATGTAGGATCCACTGTTTTGGGGGTGTATCAGGGACTAAAACTGATGGTATATACTTCTGGGTGACTGTGGCTGTGAGGGAGTGTGGTCGTCTTTCAACCAGAAGGTTGTGGGTTCGATCCCAGCCCATGCAGTCAACATGTCGATGTATCCTTGGGCAAGATACTTAACCCTGAGTTGCTCCCGATGGCATGGCCAACGGTGTGTGAATGTGTGTGAATGTTAGGTCCTAGAGTAAGGTACACTGCTCTGTATGAATGGGTGTGAATGGGTGAATGACATTTAGTATGTAAAGCGCTTTGAGGGGTCTTAAAGACTGGATAAAGCGCTATATAAGTACAGTCCATTTACAATTCTGCTGCTTTAAATGTAACCAATCTGCTTTTGTCTCACTCTTACGAGTCCTAATTTTATAGAAGCAGAATAATAAATCAAGCTGTGCTCTGTCTGAAAATCCTGACAGTATTCCAATATTTACACATCATTTGGCTGCCTGCAATTAACCATGAACCGTCGATCATTCCCTTGGAGGTAAATCTGAGATTTTTTTGTTTCTAAAATGATTATAGAAAATGGCCAATTTTTATATATTGTATCAACTTCTAGTAATTGCTGTTTGATGAACCGTGTGGTTTGTATTAGAGTAAAATGTGGGCTCAACTCTAGTGTCGCAGTGATCTCTGTGCTGCTCCTCTGCTGCTGAAGACACGTGAAGCTGAGAGCAGCATGTTTGAGGGCGTTCAGTGAATTACTTCCGCTCTGTTTGTAGGCTAATAGCTACTTTTATGCAAAGACTCATTGAAGTGGGCAACTTGTGTGTTAGTTTGTGGAGTTGTGTGTGTACTTATTAGATCATAAAGGCAGACAATAAAAGCACCAGAATTAAACAACTGTCACTTAAATGTATTTTGTGACGGAACATGAACAGGAAGTCCGGCTGTCATCCCCTCTCGTCTCAAAGCCCCTGAAGGGAGAGGCTTTACTCAGCACCCGGACTCTCAGGGTGATGTAAATAATTGAGGATGTGTTGGATACCCAGAGCTAGCAGCATGGTTTCACCTGACATGTGGTGGGGGGATGGCACACAGATTATAGACCTCACTCAGAGGTTTATGGATGTAGAGTCACAGAGAGCAGATGCCTGGGGCAGGAGAGGAGCTGTCAGGGAGCTGTGGCTGTGGATGTGTGTGGCTATTATTAGCACTGTGTTTAAATATACAAAGGGCAGTTTTGGTGTGAGCGTGTTGTTTCAAGAACCTGTGAGATGATAAAAGGCTATTTAGGAAGTCAGTATTATTTTTGACAGATTCTTCATAAGTTAATCAGCATTGTTCACATTACAAAGTGATCTACCAGCAACTTGCACTTTCATCTACAAGTTTCCCAAAACAGTGTTGTTACACCTTGAGTTGAGGAACGCTTGACCTTTCCTCTTTTACTTCCATAGATCTCTGTGTTGGCATGTTTTGCAAAGAGGGATTTTAAATCAGTTTCTCATGTCTGTTTGAACACAGTCCTAGTTACTGTAGGAAACATAAAATATTCAGACACAGATGAAAATGATGAATTATTTGAGACTATAATTATTGTTCTTTTGCTCCACCATTTACTGTACAATCACGGCCCTGACAGAAAGTGTCTCCTCTTTTTTTATCATTTTTACTTTCTCATTGTCTGTCACACACATGCAGCTGCACACACTCCTCTGTTCCGAGTAACGGATACAAGATAAAAAAAAGAGTAACTGCATTCCCTTACAGTTACAGTAAGAAAAAACATAATCAGATTACCGTTAAATTTTTTTATACTGAGGATTGCTTGCAGGATAACAATGTATCAATAAAGATGGATATATTAAAGGTAGACTTACTGCCTGGGTTTTCTTTTTGGTTTTTCTTTTCGCTACTTTCATTCTTTATTTAAATAGATTTTTTTAATGCAGTAGGTGGACACCTGATTCATTAAAACGAAAATACCGTTTTATTTTAATTCATATATTAAACTAAAACACTTGTTGTAAGTGCTACTATTCTGTAGGTCTAGCCTACATTTAATAAGACACATTTATGATCCTGAATATCTTGGTTTCTTCTTTTCTATGGTCACATTGTTCTATTTTCTTACATAATACACTTAAAGGTCCCCTATTATACTGTTTTTCATCAATACGATATACTTTATTGTCCCCGTAAGGAAATGTGTTCTGGACTCCGTCCTGCAGTTCCACATACATGTACATATACAAACATAGTAAACAATAAGAAATACATACACATATCATCACTCATACACCGTTTGCACATACACAATACACAGACGCACCTACTGATGCAGGCGACCTATTGCACAACCCTCATGGCCAACATGAGTATTACATCACACATGTTGAGGTTGAGCAGTCGTAATGGACAGAGGCTAGTAGGAATGAGTGCTTCTAGAGGTTCGGGAACCCTGCATCTTCTACCAGAAGGAAGGAGCTGGAATTCTGGGTGAAGAATGTGGGGGGGGGATCAGACACGGTTTGTTGTGCCTGTCTAATAATGGACTGCTCATATATGTTAAGGAGAGATAGATATTTTTTGACCCCCATAATTCTCATAGCAGTCTGTACCAGGTGAGCGATCTGTGACGATATTTGGTTGAAAAGAACTCAATGGTGCTCTAGTAGGAGATTCAGGTGATAAGGTGGGGGGGGGGTTACCTTGGTTGGTTATTGGCTAATGGTTACACAAGCCAAAAAAAATCGTTATGACATCATAAAGTGGCCAAAATCTGGGAGGTTTTTATATGGATCAGGACAAAAAGTGAGAGAATCTTTTTTCCTGAAACTTTCAGAATCTCTTTACACTTGTTTATGTAGAAAAGACATGAAAAAGTGGATTTTGCATAATAGGTGACCTTCAAGTAAAAAACACCTGATATTTAATGTCTCCTAATTGCGTTTGATGATGAGGTCATCCATCGGAAAGTAATCAGGTTACTTTTATATTTTGATACTCAAGTTGGATGACTGATTACAGGTAACCAGTAATTGTAACGGATTACATTATTTTTTTTAAAGTAATCCTCCCAACCCTGATGTCCACATAGTGATTTTATCCAGCTAGACACATGTTTCACAAACATCCCAATTGTTTAATGACCAATTACAGTAATTCGACACATATCTTAAATATAAACTCATTTCAAATAAATAAATTACATTCACCCTTATGCAAGTGGTCAGGATGAATGTGAGCTAAAAATAAATTACAATTACAGAAATGAAGAAATCTTTGCCAGTGCAGTATGTAAAATGACTGAATTCAATTTCCTGTAATAAACTCAATATCTATGACTGAATATATAATATAATATTTGATTTTCATATTTGATTTTGTCACCTGCAGAAGTACTAATGGACTCAACCACAGCAACAGCAGAACTGGGCTGGACCATCTACCCAACACAGGGGGTGAGTGGAACAAACCAATACACAAGGAACCGCCTGCAGTATGCAGCTGACCTTCTGATGTTCTGTTGCAATGTGACAGTCGCCATAGTGATGCATTCACAGTAGCTTTTCAGGTTGAAATGCACCAATGAGAGGACTCCCTCAGTGTCAATAAAAAACATTTGTTTAAAGCTCTGGAATTAGGAAGGGCCTTGTTTCAGTGCTAACGGATGATGATGAAAGCCTCTATACATAACGTTTTAACATGTAAAGTAACCAACAATTTCATAGCCTTTATGTGCCTTTTATCTATTCTTATGTGTGCCTTTTATCTATTATTGTAATATTGCCAAGGCACACAGGGGATAGGTGCATGTTTGCTGTGAAGCACTTCCGTAAACCCTCTGTTTTTAATATGTGCTATATAAATAAAGTGGATTGGATTGGATAAATGTAGGTAAGAAAAAATAACAATATTTTACTCTCAAATGTAGTGAAATTGATGTATAAAATAAATGCAATGAAATGTAAACACTTAAGTAAAGTACAAGTTGCTCATCATTTCAGAAAATTAAATCTACAGAGAGTAAATCTGATACATTTCATAACTGGTAGCTAATGCCTGTTGTTGACGTTCTAATCCAAATGTAACCCCATTACAGCTGGGTAAAGAATAACATAAGAAGGTAAACAAATATACTTTTTGACTGTTACAACTTTAAAAAAACAAACAATTTCATTATGAATGTGTTGTCAAGCTATATTCAGTTTAAACCATAGCCTTCTTGTTGGAATACAGTGTTTACAACTATTTTATTTGAACTGCCTAAAATAGTTCAAGAGTAGTGTAGCATGTTTAAATCTGTCTTTGTTTACACCCTCCTGACAAACAACCTTCTGGAAGTCATGAAAATGTTGACCCCGATAAATAAAGATGGAACTAGTGACAATGTTAAAGCACTGCAAAACCTTCTAAGGTGTGTTCAGACTCAATGTGAAATGAGTGATGATGTGTGTGTATGACAAACCAAGTATTTCTTTTGGGCCGTACCACTTCATAAAACCTATAAGTGTACGTTTTTGTAGTTCTTGTTCATTAATTATGTGTCACTGAATAAACTGTTGTTGCTTGTGTGTTTTGTAGTGGGAAGAAGTGAGTGGCTATGATGAAAACATGAACACTATTCGAACATACCAAGTGTGCAACGTCTTCGATAGCAGCCAGAACAACTGGGTCCGCACCAAGTACATCCGGCGCCGCGGGGCTCAGCGCATCCACGTCCAGATGAAGTTCTCAGTGCGAGACTGCAGTTCTATACCCAACGTCCCTGGCTCCTGCAAGGAAACCTTCAATCTGTACTACTATGAGTCGGACTCTGACACAGCCACTAAATCGTCCCCCCCCTGGATGGAGAACCCCTGGGTGAAGGTGGACACTATAGCAGCCGATGAGAGTTTCTCTCAGGTGGATCTTGGTGGACGAATCATGAAGATTAACAGTGAAGTCCGGAGTTTTGGACCTGTATCGCGCAGTGGCTTCTACCTTGCTTTTCAGGATTACGGTGCATGCATGTCAATCATCGCTGTTCGAGTCTTCTACAGGAAATGTCCCGGTGTGACCCAGAATGGTGCTATCTTCCCGGAAACTCTTTCTGGAGCAGAGAGCACGTCTCTGGTGGCGGCCAGAGGGGTGTGTGTTCCCAACGGGGAGGAGGTGGATGTTCCCATCAAGCTGTACTGCAACGGGGAGGGGGAGTGGATGGTCCCCATCGGGCACTGCATGTGCAAGGCCGGGTACGAGTCAGTGGAGAATGGAACGGTCTGCAGAGGTAAGACACCACGGGGTCTAGACTAGAAAGCATCTCAGCAAATATTGCATGTGACAGTAAAACATGAGTGTATATGTGTGGTCACAACCACATTTACAAATAGGGTTGTTTTTTTCTTTAGTACCAGCATTATGGGGAGATTAATCAAAGTTGCGAGTACAGGAGTTGGTGTTATAAGAGCAGTGTACCGAGTGACAGGCACTGCTACACAACACCAGTCATCTTCCTCAACCTAATCATCTGTGTCTTCTCTAATAAGGAATGAATGTAATTCATTGTTTCAACTTGTGTGTTCTTTATAGAGACTAACGTGTCCTCTATGCAAGCCTCCCGTGTCTGTCCTCACATCCTCGGGACTGTGAGACAGACACGGGCTGAGCAGAGGGAAGTCAGTGTGGTGCTTGTGAAGCAGGCTGTTGAAATGATTATTTATTTACTTGCGAGCAGTGACACGATGGGGCAGCTGCTGCAGGGTGCAGTGTCACAGCTACAGTGGAGGAGGCCGGGGGAAATTGGAAAATAATTTACAGATTTCTTCGAATTGTATGATTGAATAACAGAAACCAATTGAAACTGTTTGCATTTATAACGTTTGATAAACCATATGACTTGAACCGTTAGTATAAATTTAAGTAAAGGTTTTCATAAGTACAGTTTTTTGTGAAAGAAGCATGTGGACTGTTTTAACTCTCTCAAAAAAGAATCGGAATCAATAAGCAGACCTGGAAATGAAACTGGAACCTCCAAATCCAAACAATAGCCAACCCTATTTACTAAGGAAAAAAGGTGAGAAATTAAAGCTAGATTGACGTGCATTTTGATGAAAAATAACTGTAGCTAGTTAAGTAAGTTTAGAGTTATTAGTTCAGCCTATATGTAAATATTAACATTGTTGACTGAAAGGATATGCAAATAAGTGAGTGGCGTAATGAAGTGATGTCAAGCAACCTTTTCGAGCAGACGTCAGCTACTTTCCAGTTAATAATCTTAATCAGGTCCTTCCCTGTATCTTGGCTGAGTGAAGACTAACATGTGATGCAATATTTAACATCTTTAAACAAACAGATGGAGGTCAGAGGATTCTTCCTGCATTGCCTCCTGGGATCAAGCATTTTGGCTGGCTCCTGTGATGTTGGCCCAGGATGGGGTCCACAGTAGAGCTCCATCTCCTTAACAAGTGTGTCATAGACTTTGGCAAGACTCATCCTTTCATGATGCATTTGTAACAGACCAATAGTTCACATGTGAGTTATATCTCAAACAGGCTCCGCCCTCTACGGGACTCTATGGGTACTACTCTCAACCATGCTATGCGAGCATTCACATACCGAGTTGCATAAACCTAGCCGGCCAATCGGGGCGAGCCTACCTGAATGTGTGCGCAGGCCCACTGTATATAAGGCGGCTAGGCCTCCTGTCTTTCATCCTTTTTCTCTTCAGCGAGCAGGACAAACAACTGACATAAATAAATGTGAGAAAGGGAAAGAATAAGAAGGAAAAAGTTACCGTTACGTTCGCCATTCACGTTCGCCATTCCAGCGGGGCGGATGGCTCCGGGGAGGAGGATGACGAGGACTTCTCGTTGTAGGGCACTTCCCGGTCCGGCGTCCATGGAAGTCCACCGCCCAGGTCTGTACTTCCCCCTGGTGATGACCATGGTGGCGGAGCCTGGCAGCCCATCTGATCCCACAGGCAGCAGGCTGGGCAGAGAACCTCTGACAGAAAGTGACAGACCTAATGTTAGACCTATTTACAGGCAATGGACGTCCACTCTCGGGAGAGAGACCTCCAGCATGTGTCCCTGAAATGGAGACTCTGTTTATTTCACTCATCCAGGACAGAGACCGGGGAAATCTCCTCTCTGTGGCCCCTCCAAGACCCACAAAGGACGGACTAAAGACCTCCAGCATGTGTCCCTGAAATGGGGACTCTGTTTATTTCACACTTCCAGGAGAGACGACGGGTAAATCCCCTCTCTTTGCCGGCTCACAGAGCCCTGAAGGACGGACTAGAGACCTCCAGCATGTGTCCCTGAAATGTGGACTCAGGTTATTTCACACATCCAGGTCAGACACCGGGGAAATCACCTCTCTGTGGCCCCTCCAAGACCCCCAAAGGACGGACCACAGACCTCCAGCATGTGTCCCTGACATGGGCACCTCCATAACCTTGCACACCGTGAGTCCCCGGACTCCCGGACTTAAGCACTCCCCCACGGACTAAACCCAGATGATCACACCCTTCAG